AGAAGTGAAAATGATGCAAAAGCACTGTTCAAAGATCTGTGGATTGCTCATCCTCACTGACAGCCTGGTCATCCTCTACAGCATCTTCAGTTGCCATTGTAACATCACTGCTGGAGTTGGTGGTATGATCAGACCCCCTGCGTGGTTCCGCCTCCTTCAGGTGTTCCATGACTGTTGCCGCTGCGTCCAGCCTCTCTATCTGGTACAGTAGGCAGCCGAGGTCCTGCACAGTACGGCCCTCCTCCTCAAACCTGTCCAGCAGAATGGCCATAGGACTGGGCTAGAATACAGCATTCAAACAATGTTACAATTTAATGACTAAATTCACATTTAATTCACATATACAACAGCAAGACCAGTTCAAGCATATTGTACAGTGTAGTGTACTTAGTCATATGCATCTTTTTAAAGAATTTCACTATGATAACATCAAGATGTACTCTGTGAAAGGTCAATTTGCCAGTTATGATCTCATCTTATTAGTAATATATACAAGCGACATAAAGGACAGGTGTAAAACCTTTTGCACTGCCCTATGTTACTATAAGCTGGTATTGGTCCCACACATTTTCCCATGCTACCGTAAATGTGCAAATTGTTGTAGAGTATCATACCTGGGTCTCCAACCAGCGTATGCAGTGGTCGAGGTTGAGCTTGCCGGCGAAAGCTCTCCAGTCGTTTCCAAGGGTAGAACGTGCGTCTAACAACATCTGCAGCTTCATCCTGAGGGAGTGGGAGATCCGCGGGACCCTCGGGCCGGGAAGCCCCAGGAGTGGCGTGCCGACCTGGCTGCTGTTCACATCCTTCCCAGAAGAGGGCACAGTTGATCGGCTTGAGCCAGGTCTGGAAGAGTTTGTGGGTCCAGAGGACCACGTGCCCTGGCCAGCCTCGGTGGCAGCCAGGATCCGCAGTTTTGCAGAATCTTCCACTCGGCTGCGCTGGTAGGCGACGATGGTAACACTGATATCGGAGACCGTCGGGTCATCGCGTTGGAAACAGAAGGACGCGTATGGACACAGATTGTGCCACAGT